ATGATGACTGATCGAGTATATTGAATGGTGTCCTTACTATTCTTAGTGTGGGTTGTTGTTTAATTCGAATCTTTCATAGATTATGTGTTCTTTGCTTGGTTTGAGTTAAGAGATAGAAATCCTTAGATAAACGATCGTCTTACTGTGAATTTTCCGCACTCGTTTGAGTTTTGCGGGATAGACAAATTATCTTTGTACTTTCTTGTTTGATGGTTGCATTAACAAAATTTGTTTCATCTACGAGATCGCTCATGTTGAGAGATTTTTTTTTTTGGGAGGGGGGGTGTTATTATCGAATATTACATTGATTTGAAAGGGGTTATTAGGGTTTTGTTAAACTTGAGAATTTTCTTTGAGTTTGTGTTTGTTTTGCTCGAACCATGAGCGAAGAAACACAGAGTAAGAAGTGTTTTTTAATAGTTGTAAAACTCTTAAGACGTTGAGAACTTTGGAACAGGATATGCGTGCTATGAGATGAGATAATATGCAAAGAAGCGGTGGACACGAGATGATGGGTCAAATTCTTGATCAATGCAATGAGATGGCACAATCTTTTCGGAAGTTAACTTACTAAGTGAGTGACGTAGGAGATCAGGTTAGTGAACATCTCAAAACCCTTGTTTCTACGGAAGAATTTGCGAGGGAGCTGAGAGACATGGAAATTTTCTTTGATGTGTTGGGTCAAAGAGGATCATAGAAGATTGCTTTGACAATTTGTGGTCTTCGAAGCTATGCCGCGATTTGGTATGCACTTATATCCAATAATTGTTCTACTAGTTAGAGGGGTGATGTAAGGGCTTGGGAAGAATTTTAGGCAGAAATAAATGCTAGGTTCATAGATTTTGAGGTTTGTTGTGAATTCAAGAACGAGCTATACGAGCTTAAGCATGGAGTGCTTGAAGCCGATGATGTTGCGAGATTTGAGGAGCTATGTCTAGCTATAATGAAGTTCTAGAGTCACAAGAGACATTACCTTGTAAATTTATGCAAGACAACGATTGGCACAAAGAGGAGAAAATAAAATAATAGTGATTTTTGAAAATTAAGCATGCATAGAAATATTAATTTTCTAGTGTTATCCCAAATCCCAATCAATGATATATCAAAAAATTTTCAAATACAACCCTCCAATATTCAACTGCAATTTTATTTGGTTTTGGATTTGTGGTAACAAGAAAGCACTGATGGGGAAAGGAATGAAATGTGGAAAAGAAGGATGGTAGAAAAAAAAAATAGAGAGAAGAACAAATAAGGATTTAACATCATTCGAGAATGGCCTTTTGATGAAGGATGAAATAAAATGTCAAGGCTTTTAGAATGATTTCATGGGGATAATTTGGTAATTTTAATTTAGTGTATTAGGGTTTATTTTTAAGTTCATTTCTTATTTAAACGGCATAGCCACAAACAATGTAAGTTGGCTTTTGATTATTGAAAATAGTGTATTTTCTCTCTAGAGAAATCCAAGATTTTTGTCAGTGATCTTTGGTCCTTAAGATCCGGGTATTCTTAGACTAAATAGATTATTGCATAGGTTGATATCTAGGTATTTGTTCATCGAAGCAATGGATTTCAGCGGTTAGTGTTAGGGTTACTTGTTCTCTCTCAAGGTTGGCCTTCTGCTTCTGCATCAATTGGTATTTAGAGCCAAAAGGTCCTGGATCCATCAAAGCGGCATCGCTCGAGGTTCCTTCTTGGTTGTCATGGATACCGCTCTTGGAGTTTATTAGTTGATTTATTGTTTTGGTTTGTGATTGATTAATTAAGTTGAGTTGCGTGCAGAATTGGAATTAATTTTTTAAATTTGTTAAAGTGATCAACCATAACACGTTTCCTGGTTATGCTTATGTGATAATTGGATGATACGGTTAAATTAATTGATTGGGATAATTTCTATTGTTTCTTCTTAATTGATCGGTTCGTGAATTTGTGTGTTACATTTGCTTCCGATTTGTCATTGGTCCTCTTTCTCATCAACTGACAAAGTTCTTTCTTCTTGGATTTGTATGGTTGATGGGTATCGACATCATCAACACATAAGCTACGACAGTTTGCTCTGCAAATTATATTTGTAGCTTTGAGAGGTCATGGGTTGTCAACCTATATCTATTTCAGTCTCAAGATGAGTTGTTTTCTCATGTATTGGATCATGATCCATGGGAGCTATTCGATCTTAATTGGATTATTCCACGTATTTATGACATCTATCTCGATGAGTTGGTGGAGAATTTCATTGAAGATACTCACGTCTGTATTTAAGACAAAGGGCTTGCTGGATTTTAAGGCATTGCAAATGGAATAAAAAATTTTGGAGCAACAAATCACCCCATGCAAATAAACTTAGGTTGTGGACAAAAAATCAATGATTTTAAAATCCCGAATTTAAGTCTTAAAATCTATGATTCTACGATTATAATTTAAAGTATCGATTTTAAGTCAACTGGAACCTTTTTATGTACTAGAATCTTAGTAGAATCGCTAGAATCTTCAAAAATTGTTAAAATATTACGATTTTACGATTCTATACGATCCTAAGAAATTTGACTATTTGGGTGCTTTTTGGACTTTTTATTAAATTAAACTTGTTGGGTTGAAATTTTGAGCCATAAAATTTTTAAATTAAACCATGTAAAAGCACAAATTACTAATGAACTGAAAAATTAAGGCTCCATTTGGACAAGAGTTTTAAAAAGCTTTTCAAATAAGTCTTTTTGAAGCAAAATTTCAAAAAGACTTTTTGAAAAAAAATCCATTTGGACAAAAATTTAACAAAAAGCTTTTTGTAGTTAAAAATATTAAAAATTCATTTGGATTAGACCTTTTTCAAAAACACTTTTTGTCAAAAAATAATTATTGCACTTTTTTTTTGTTAATAAAAAGAAATAGTTACACAAATTTTCATATTATTATTGCATTTTTGTTTCATTTTAAAACCATTATATGACCATTCTAGCTTATCGAATGCATAATAAATTTGAAATATTGTTATCGAGAGATTTTTAAACATCCAACTCTCAAAAAAAAAATAAAACATAGTTTATAAGACTTGGAATAAATTCACAACTTTTTAAAATCCACACATTCAACGCATATGAATTCCACAATATTTAAAACTCTAACACGCATTCCACATTTGTGTTGCTATGGTCATTCGCCGGTTATTCCATTGGGATATGGCGGGAGTAGACATATCAACTTCTTCTACTTCACTTTGAAAATTGCCTCCACTTCCAGCTTCCTCGTCCATGATTAAATCTTCGTTTGCAAATTCATTGATGATATCATCTTCTAGCTGAAGTTCTTTGATAAAATTATGCACCACACAAATAGCAATCACAAAGTTCACTTGCTTCTTGAAATCATAGTTATTCATTGGCCCTTTGAGAAAAGCAAACTTGCGCTTCAGTATGCCGAAAGTTCTTTCAATCACATTCCTCAAAGAAGAATGAATATGATTGAAATATTCCTTTGAATTTTTTGGAGCACGACCACGGCCTGAAAAGTCCTGCAGATGGTAGCGAATGCCTCGAAATGGCGCCATAAACCCGGGCATATTCTTGTAGGCAGAATCAACCACATAATACTTACCTAAAGGAGGCATCGGAAAAGTGATGTCTTCATTTGAAAGCGCAGCCTGTAGAACTCTAGCATCGTGTGCACTACCTTCCCAACCGGCATAGACAAAGACAAAGCGCATATCGTGATCGCATGCCATCAAGACGTTCTGAGTTATATCACCTTTTCTATTTCTAAATGCAGCTTGCTTTTCTGCCGGTACCCACGCAGGCACATGTGAACCATCTATGGCTCCTACACAGTCCTGGTAAAAAGAGAAGAAAACATTCAACATGACAATTCTGATTATGTGGTGTCATTGATGAATTATCCATGGCAAACCAAGAACACCATAATGGAGAAAAAAAATACATTGCTTTCAGCAACACAGACAACTTCTAGCCAACTGGAAAGTAAAGTCCCATATATAATTGAATGCAAGGCAGTTCAGCGACAACTACAAATAAATAGAACTGTATTTTTTCTTGTTTGGACTGCAAATTAAACAGCAGCATAAAGGATTCACAATGAAATGAAGTTTGTAAGAATAAGTAGATATATTAAGCAACAATAGAATCATGGCCCACGTCAACAAGCAAAGAATTAGATATAAAATTAAACTACTACATCAGGTTTTTTCTGCATTGAAAAACACAAAGATATTCAAAAACACTTCTAATTTTATGCATCAGGTGTACCAACTAATAACTACAAAGATAAAAACTTGAACCAAGAAAATCAAAAGCAAACTGAAGGAGCAACAAAAATAATAAATGAAGTTGAAACGGGCAGAGCAGCAGGATCCAAATTAAACAATTTATAAAGCTTCTTCTTTGCTCAGCAGCAACAACTACACCAAAATCAGATCAATGATGAATATAGCATGATAAACATTCCCTGATCGACATCTTCTACAGTTCTACTTGTTGTTCCAAATAAATATGATAAACAAACTTCCATATTTTACAAAGAATGAAACTGCAAGCTTACATTATAACTTTTGGCCCATTACTCTACTCTGATTAGTGTACATTATAACTTCTGTTCAATTTACATGTACGCACAAAAACACTAAATAAAATCTACACTAGAAAATGCATTGTATAACAGAAGAAAAAATCACATACAGTAGACGCCAATGTGGAACCAAAGAGTCCAAAACTCTTGTGCGCTAGGATTGTTCAAAACTCAGTAAAAGTAGAACTTCAAACTACAACAATATCAGAAAAAACCTTCGATACAACCAGATAAATGGTCTGCTTGAAAGACAAATAAAAATAGAAAATCATACTTGGGCCACTATCTTTCATTCACAAATTAAACTTAAGTAGCTACAGAAATTAGGATGATATACATTCAACTACAAGCAGAGGCACCCAAAAAGAAAAGGAAAGGGGAAAAAAAAGCTGCAAAAAAGATAAATTTTAAAAAGAAAAGTCTGAATGTCATGCATTTACCTTGAACCAAGGATAAAACTTCGTGCTGTTTCTTATTCTTGGATGTACCTCTTGTTCATTCCGAGGTGCAATGATAACTGATGAGAATCGGACCAAAGCTTGCACTACATCATCAATGTTTCGCTGAACTGTCTCTGTTGAATGCTGAAATCTTTCTGAAATCACACATGTTCGCCCGTCTGTGCCAGTTAAATTCAAAAACATAGCAAGAGCTTCCTCAACAGATACTTGTCGCTGGTGGTGCTCTGACAGGTAATTTCCCTCTCGAAGTACATCACACAGTCTCGAAAAAGTATCAACCGTGATGCGACAATTTTGAACAATTCGAGCGTGATGTCCAAATATCACCTCCCTCACATACTGATGCCCGGTCAAAGCTGATGTCCTACAAGGTGTCTTGCTTAATTTTGTTTTGCGAGCTTTTACCATACGTAGTAACTTCCATTCCTCCAATTCCTCTTCGTCAGATGATGACGAATAATCCATCAACTCATTGTTCAAATTTGACGAACCTTCCATCTTACCTGTGCAAAGATTACCATCAGCATCCATGTTAGTAACTTGCTAAAAGAAGAAACACTGTTGCAGTTGGCTGAGAAAAAATTATGAAGGCTTTCACAACTCAGAATCACTGTCTAGCATATACACAACTCAGAATCACTGTCACTGGGAAACATATGTACATCAACCCAAAACAAGTAAAAAAGCCAAAGAATAAGGAAGCACCAATATTGAAGTTCACGTGGCATTGATTCTGAATCAGAATCAGCAAATTCATGAAGAATGTCAACACGGGCCGATTGCGAGTTATTGCTTTTAAGCTCGGTATTGCTCACTGTCATAAACAGGATGCTGGTGATATTTACATGTGATGATGGAGTGGAGTTAAAGCTTCCAAAAGGGAGTATCAGAATCAAACATTGCAGTTATACTTAAGACTACAACCCAATAGAGCAATCTCAGGCTTCTGAAGCTACGCAGTCTATCAATCTGAAGCCTGTTTACCATGTTTTTACTCCAACTCATCAAGACATTATTCATACCGGAGTTGACTTTTGTCTTACTGATGAAACATCGCCAAAAAGATTCTCCAGAGAATGAGTCCTCTCAGTTCGATCAGATCCCCTTACGAGGTTTGTTTTTCTTGCCATTGATCGGGAAAAGGAAACATGAGAAATGAAAAGAAAGAAATCTGTACCAGAATCATCAAAATCAATGAAGAAAACGGAAGTTACAGATTTTCGGAGAAAACAAAGGCAACTTCATTCTGAGTTCTGACCATGTGTGTGTTAGAAAATGTGATTAAAATAACGCTAAAACTCAACCCTGAATTGGTAATATAAGATAAAGAAGAATACTTGTGGCAATACATACATTATTATAAAGAAGAATAATTGAGATATATGGTTGATGAAATATTGGCTTCTGAGCCTTCTTATAGATGTTGTGTAACAAATTGGTATTTGAGTTTAGAATGAAAAATAGATAATAAATCAAAAGGAATGAAGGAACCACATTTCTGTATTTTTCCTTAATGAATCAAGTACATCATATATAGGCACAGTTTACATATTTGATAAGCATTGTAAATTAACTATAGATTAAGAATACAACTGAAACCGTATCAGCAAACCCAGAAAATGATAGTCTCACCAGCCACAGAGTCAAAAATCGAAGAACAGTGGCTTTATTCTGACCCTTTTGTTTGTTAGAAAATGCAATTTAAATAATGCTAGAAATTCAACCCTGGATTGGTAGTGCGTTGACTTTGATGATTGGGTTTGCATTATTAACACAATGCATTATTAACATTAGTCATCATAGCCAAACTCTCAAGTGAAAATGGGAGAGAATGTGCAGTCACTACTTAACGTGACATGTCACAAATTAACTTTACAAACTGGCAACTCAAGCTGAAGTCAAATGTCATCCTACCCATAAGGATATGAATACCAGGGAGGAAGTGTAGTCAGCATAGCCATTTGAAATTCACTTGATAGAAACTAGACAGGCATACAAACTGAAAGATAAGGCATTTTGGAAAAGTAGCTTAAGCTCAAGTAGAACATCATACTTGTAATAGCAAAATCAAAAATAACAGAACAACTTGAAATTAAGATACTAGTCACGTAATCCATACGGTTCTACGAAAAATTCAAGTACCTTCCCACCGAATTTCTTCTCAAGCTCCCTAACAAGCCTCACATGAATCTTGCGGAAAGCTTTTCTCAATCTGTACGGAACATGAATAACAACAGCCTTCTTGCCTCCAGAAACATCAACTTGACTGAAAAAAAAAAAAACAGCATTAGACATCAGCAACCATCCATATACCACCTAAGACATGAAAAAGTGACCTATTTCTAATCTCCTTACACATCAGCAACAGGTACATGTTTTTATCAGGCTTTAGTTTTGCTAATCGAAATGCTTCCAAAACAGTAAACATCTACTCCAACAGAAAGAAACTAGAAATAGGATACCTGAGCCACAGTAATAAAAAAATGAGCAAGACTCAGTACTCAGCCAAAAGACTCAAATTTACAGCAAGTAAAATATACATAACCATATAACACAAGCAACTCAATTGCAATGAAACCTGGAATTTAAGGATTAACTAAATATCTTGATAATATAACATTTAAACACAGCTGGAATTTAGATACAGCTGATGTGAAAAGTTTAAAATATATGAAGCAACAAAAAGCCATCAACAAAATATAAAGGATGTTCCCAGCTCTACATAAGTCTAAAATATATTTCAACTCCACTAATCTATCAAGTCTAGAGTCTCCTAATCCAAGCGAGTCGATGTTCGCGTGAAAATTTCAGAAAAATCCTTCTCCTTGCTTCATCAGTGAAAGCATCACTGGCTTTAAGAAATAAGTCCACATCGTCGATGTCTTTTTCCAGGTCATATAGAAGCTCTATGCATTTCTCGATGGAATGCTCCTCAAAAGCCAAGACTTGGGCTGCTTGCGCATTATACCTTTTCCCCTTTGCAAGTGCAGCTTCTGTTGCAGCTTCCCAAAACACATCCTCTTTTGAATTCCCCTTAGACATTTTCTTCCCTCTTGAGTCTCCCTCTTTATTCATATTACTATCCATCTGCCTCTTACCACTAGACTTGTCACCATCTTCATCCCTTATGGTTTCTGAAACATTCGCACCAGCTTCCTGAGCTTTACTGACTTGACTTTGCCCCGTTGCCATAGCATATGCGCCAACTGAACCAACACTTTGAAATAACTCAGTAAACTCATCGTTATATTCTAAACCTTGCTGCTGGAATTTCTTGTAATTCTTGTTTGTCTGCAGTATCCATTTAAATATCCATTTAAATATATATAGTTATACATATTAGTGCAAGTGTAGAATAGTTTATTAACTCAGGATATGTTTGATCTATTACCTTGATTAACTCTTTCCAACGTTCTTCAGAAGCTGTAATGGTTCCTTTTTCGTGATCCCACCCAAGACCAGTGTGTTTCTCTCGCAAATCCTTAAAAGCATTCCAGTCAATTCTAAAGCGATGAAATTTCTGACTCAGTTGCTCAAGGGTTTGCCTATACTCTGATTTGGCATTAAAATCTTTGGTAATCTTGACCCAAGACTTGCCAAAGTTATTCTGCTTCATTTCGCCCTTCCTTTTATACTCCAACAATATGTCAACAAATAGCTTCATGTCTCCTTCAGTCCAAACAGTCCGAGAAACTCCGTAAGTTTTACCACTACTTTCACTGATATCTGACATCTGAAACAAATACTGCTTTTGAAATACTGCTTTTGAAACATTAAATACTGCTTTTTAAACAAATTTACCATTCAGGATTAAAAAAAAAACAAAAAAAAAAAAACTTTTTAAGCCACCCAACTCATTAATTCAGGTGAAGAATAATCCAATCGCCAAAGTTATGTATTGGCTGTTGAGCTAACACACCCGGGCCAAAAGACAATCAAGAAACAAAACTAGAGCCTAAATCGTAGAACACAGGTGTGCAAACTGAGACATTTTCGTAGTGCTCCTCTTGCCATTCTTCTATGTAGGTATAATCAAAAGTTTATAATGTCTAAAGCATCCAAATCAGTTATCAAACTAATCACCTTATACTAAATCAAGCCACGATAAACAGCCACCGAGACTAGTTTAAGCCTTCCAAATAAGTATCATAAACTACCAAATAATCAAGACTTGAAAACTTCCAAACTTTCCGAACAGTTCTTTCTAATTAATAAACCTTAATGATGCTTAGCAACAAAGAAACAATTCACCGTTTAAAAAAAAAAACAGAAAAAATTCACAGCATCAGAAGGGAATACACACACAGAAAAGAACTAAACTAGACGAGCCACCTTGTTTTGTTATGGAAGAAAAGTTATAAGTATAGTACATTACTACATTTCCAGTATTAGATAGCTTGAACATCATTCCCAGCTAAGGATGACTCCACATATCATCATTTGTTTAGTCTGTTCATAAATTATCCTTGTTCAATGGACTCCTCATTTTCAAAAAAAAAAAATCTAATTTTAGAAACTATAAGTTCCTTCAATTTTTAGGAAAATGGAACACTAGGTGAAATGAAATGAAGAATACAGAATCAATCAAAAGAGATGATGAACTTAGTATCACTGTTGAGCTCATCTTCACTAAAACCATAACTAAGGTGTGCTCTCTTATATGCAAACCAAAATTTAAATTCTAGATTCTACTGAAAGTAATAATGAGAATTAAAATAACAAAATCAATTAGGATTTTTAATTTTGGTAAAATTAATTACGATAATAACAGTAAAAAGATGAGAAGGGGCTGGAAGAAACCTGGCAACGGCAAAGGAAGTCGATGGTATTAGCTTCTATGTTTGGATCAACCGACTCACCCAATACAGCAATTGAATAAAGTATCCAATAACAAATCCAAGGACGGGTGCGGACAGACCAAACAAATACACAAAGAAAATTGAGTTCAATTTCCCAATCTACGATCAATGTAGGTATGTCAGAAATTGAAAACTGGCGATAATTGAAGTGAAGAAGAAAAGGGCAAAGAGCGTACTTGGCATCCAAAACGCAGAAAGAAGGACCAAGTTGAAGGAGACCCCTGGTGAGATACTGAACGTGATTCTCACGTCGTATCTCCAAGCTATTCTCCGGCAAACAGTGAGATTGAGCAAAATAAAAACAGCAACAAGCAATTAGCAAGTGTCGTAGGTAGGATAATAACTAGTGCGTGTAGTGTGGAGTGACCATGAGAGCAAATGTTCTCTTCGTCTTTGAACTCGGCAAGGGTCTAAAATCCAACAAGAGCAAGAGTAAGATTGGGGGTAAGGTTGTAAGACATCCAAGCAACTCTGCAAATAGTCCCGAGTTCAATCAAAAGAGGGCAACATAGATGTTCTAGAGAGATAAGCCCACAAAACCTCCCAAGAATAATTGTATGCTTTGCAAGTATAATCTCCAATATATTAACCAAAACTTCACTATTCATCTATTCAAATTGAATGGAAATACCCTAGTAACAGTAGTTCAAAGAATGTGTGAAAAATAAAACCAAAGAAACCTTGATATAGTTTGCACACACTATCAACGCAACCTCGACACTGAGATGGCTCATCACTCTGGAAACAAATAACGCAGCACAAAAATATTTATCCACCAGCTACACAAGAAACTCCTACAGGATAAGCACACTGCATACACCGATTTCTCTAAAAGAGAAAACAGGTTGTACATCCCGTAATAAAGCTTTTTAGGGACACTGCGTCTAGAAGCCACATGTTGTAGTAACAACAGCATCACTCGTTATGCAGAACCATAAAGAAACAACCGCATTCACATCAATAATCAAAAAAGGCAAGAAACAATTAAACAAGTTGTTTGACGTATGCCCATAGGACTTTCTTCTAACGTATCAGTTTAATTAGCCCCAAACCATAATAAGCCCACCACCAAAAGTAGACAACAGAAAACAAAAATATCAGACCCCTCAAAATTTCTTAAGTCAAACCCAAAGCTTTTATCATCGGCGACAAAAAGAGCTTCTTTATCCCCCAAAACTTAGTCCCAGAACAAATTATTGACCCATCAATAGACCAAAACCATCCGAAACTCTAAAACAAAGAGGAAAAACACGTCAAACCAAACAAAAAGCTAAGAAAGTCCTAATAAAATGGAATAAGAAGCATCAAATAATACATTCGAATACTGACCGCTTTTCCTCAATAATCTTTAGATTTAGACCCTAATTAAAAACTGGAGTATTCAATCCGGGCAAAATTAGCTAGCTAGGAACCGATCAGAACCCTAAATCGGGTTCCAAACTAGACATCGGAAATCAGATGAATTTGATATTATTTTGCAATAATTTTTTAAGCTTTGTTTACCTCAATTTCTCCAGCCAATAAAATCCGCTGCTTGTGAGAATGGGGGAATTTTGCAACTTCGTGTCTTGTCTGTTAGGGGCACTTCAGATTTCGGTGTTTTATAAAATCCGTCACCGTCGCCGTCGGCGTTGCCGGGTTGCCGCACGGCTGAAGGAGAGAGAGTGAGAAAAGAGGGCGGCGGATCTAGGGCAAGAGTGAGCGAATGACGTACTTTCCCCTCATATGCATCACCCGTTTTTTCATAACCCGGATTTGACCCGAATTTCGACCCGCGAACGGAGAAAAAAGGGCTGTTTCAAAAAATTGAAAAATACCCCCCTACCTATTTTCTAAAAAGTCTGTTTCAAACATTCTTTTTTCCAAATTACTGTTTAAAAAAGACTTTAATTATTTTGTCCAAACGCATTTTAAACTCTAAACAGACTTTTTAGCCTTAAAAGTCTTTTTAAAACTCTTGTCCAAATGGAGCCTAACTACAATACATCCATTGGCCATCACTTTCACTTACTTCCCATCGAAAATACACACCGTTTCCTTTTTCCTCTGAAAATCCTAAACTCCAAACTTACAACTCACCTCTCAAATCGAAGCAATTAGAATAAATCTACTCTAATTCGAGCTTTCTTGAGGCGTTCGTTCAGAATTTGAAACGTGTCGCGTGTCACTGATTTTGGTACTGATTATCATCTTGATGATGATGATGATGATGAGTAATTTGGTTTTGAAATTGTAGTTGATATTGGATATGGTCTTTTAGTTTGATTTTTTTAGGATCTGTTTTGATGGTAGATTTTTAGGAGAGAATGGTAAGTGTTGTATGTTTTTATTAGACTATTGGAGTTGAAATTGTCTATTTGCTTGTGATTTGAGACATTTGATTTTTTGTATTTTTTTTTATCAAGTTGTATCTGTTGATACACGTAGTCCCTAAATTGAAGTAAATGTATTTGAAAAGGTATAGATGGCATTGAAAAACAATTTTTAAATTACACAAGTATTTTTTGTGATAATAACTACCACCCCAACAAATTTGACAAGCTTTTCTTAAAATCTTACTATTCTAAGATACATTTTTACGACTCTAACCCCAAAACCATTCTTGTTAGCATCCCAACTTTGCGAACCTTGAATATTGAAAGAAATATAAACTTATGCGTGGTTGATGCGACTAACCCTGATTTAAGTGTTCTTCTACAAAGTTTGCAAATTAGCCAACCATTCAACCACAATTTGATGCTTACTCAGACGAACATTCTAGTGAAGAAGATGAAGCAAATTTCAACAATTATTTTTGTTTTTTTTCTTCGTAATCCTGCAGAGGCAACAAGACAGATATCACTGACTTCAAATTCAGCTTTAGAGATTGATGAACAGCAAATTTTATGGATTTCCCACCAACTGAAGCTCTGTCTTTGTTGTTACAACACTATAGTACTTTGTATAATTTTGCTTCAACTGATTAAGCAGTTCATTCCTCACAAATCATGGATGCAACCAATGTTGTGAGTTTTATGGATTATTCAACGTTTCTGAGCTTTGCTTGCACCTCACCATCCCAAACTTTTGTCCCTTCCCTTTATACAGACTTGAAAAAGGTATTTTATGCTCCCACTTGCAAGACAACTACTTTATAGGATCATCTCTTCTGTTGGTAGTGATTCGGCAGGGCAACTAGGCAAGTTTTCTTTGGCTAAATTACACGGTGCTCCTTTTGATCGCGGCAAGCCAACAACAAAACTCGAGGACGAGTTTTCTCTCAACCGGGGAGAATCAAGGATGAAGTCAAAATGTCAATGATTTCTAAAATTATTTCATGGGGATAGTTTGGTAAGTTTATTTTAGTCTATTTGGGTTTATTTTGTAAGTTCATTTATTATTTAAATGGCGTAGCCTCAAACGATGTAAGTTGGCTTTTGATTATTGAAAATAGTGAGATTTCTCTCCGAACAAATCCACAATTTTTGTTGGTGAGGTTTGGCCATTAAGATCCGAATATTTTTAGACTAAATAATTCTTATGTATGTTGCCATCTAGGTTGCGTGCATCAAATTAATGAATTTCAACGGCTCGTGTGCTGATTTATGACATTTATGCTGATGAGGAAGGTTGCAACGAGTCATCAATCATCAAATTTTCTGCACATGAATTGCAGAACATTGTTGTTATTATCTTTCCTCTTGGAAATGAGCATCATGATCACCAATGTGAGAAATTTACTCGCACACCCTTGCTAACACGTGAAACAACATCAGTGGTTGATTTTCATCTTTTGATTATGTCTTCATTTTAAACTTGTTTGGTGAACACCACTGCACAATCAACAGAGTTTTAGAGTTCCCAAGCTTGTTGGCACATCTTGTTTTTTTGTGTT